AGCAATCCTGAAAAATAAGACAAACGCAGAATGAGAAATCACGCGTAGAAAGGCGCGAATAGCAGCCAGGGACTTTACACAAAGACCTCGATTCGACTTCGATGAAACGTTTGCTCCAGTGATGAGACTGGACACCATCAAATTGCTAGCAGCATTGTTCACGGAGATAGAAACAAAATTACATCAAATGGATGTAATAACGGCGTACTTACACGGAGTAATCGACGAGGAGCTGTATATAGAAGCTCCGACGACGTTAAAAGAGACTGGAGTGTATTGTACGAAACGACAGAAGAGATTCACCTTTAATCCCGATGGCAACGAAGATGTTTGAGAACTTCGCAGAAGATGATCGCCGACATTTTCACGAAGCCGCTAACCAGAGAGAGATACAGTGATATCACGAAAGCACTGCGAGTGAGTGAGACGGAGTAATACAGCGCACGTACTCGTATTAAGGGAGAGTGTTAGAGATAGTCATACTTACACGTATACTACTCACACTACGCTTTTCGTCGATTTATCGCGCATGCCCGTTGCGCCGGTACACATACATGCGTGCATGCATATTGGTCTATACTTTTCTCTAACCATTCGTAACTAGTCGTCAAGCCAAACACCTCGTGTAATACTTGAGATATAATTTCTACATTGAATCAACACTGAATATAATTTATAGAAGAAGAATTGCTTTTTACTTGTACACCTTCTCGGTTTTTACAAGGCTGATCTCCCTTTTTCTCCTAGCATTTACGCTTTACTCGCTCTTCTTCATATTGGACCTTAGCAAGTCCCACCCGACACATCCTCTACTTTATATTGCGGCTGTGGACCGACTTGTGCTTTCTCTAGCGCATTTGCTCTGAACCTCACCTCTCAGGCTATTGGAACAGTAAAATGGGAAAACCACTGAGAAAACCCATAATAGTACAGTCGGAGCTGGGCTAATTCTACAGTCATGGATAAGAAACTCTTCTTTATCGACCACTGGAGCATAAGGCCCCTCTCTTAGTGTGCAGAGATCTCTCGCGCTAGCCAACGCCAGCTAGAGTGGTCACCCATTCAAGTTGTTGCTTGAAATGGGTGATCGCTCAAGTCAGACGTGTGCCGCCCTGCTATCTCTGCCACTTTCAGAGGCTGGCAACGTAACGCACATATCTTTAGTTAAAATCACTGAAAAATATTAGTGCGTGCCTGGATCGAACCCGGGTCACACTCTTTCGAACGGCGGGCACCGAGCCGACTAGGCTATTGCCAGCCTTTGACTATTATTTATATAACTCTTTTATTAATTATATTACCGAACCCTGCCTATCTCTCACAAATATTAATATTAATTAAGTTTATCTAAGTTGATGTTAATTTAAAAAAAATTAATAATTAACTCAACTCCTAAATAAATATAATAATTAATATTTATTTGCCCAAAAAATAAAGGGGTACAAATAGCGGACGCCCGTTCCCCTTACAATATTTACAACTTAAACCTATCAGTGCTGCTAAAAAACAGCCTTACAGCTACTTTACATACTTATCATCTAATCTTATCATTATCCTCAGCTTCATTCCGGCGGGAAAAAGAAAGCACAGAGCAAAGAAAAAACCGCCTTTATCCACATACACACCCATACCTCCACACATCACACACACTTGGGGACCTCCGTTTCCGCTGCATCACTGTACTTTTTTTTTTTTTTCCACTAGCCCCCCGAGTTACTCCAGTTACCCCATAGCATTTCAATCCCAGTCAGCCAACCTTCTCCTTGCCCTTCATCCCCCAAAACCTCCTCCCGCATCTCCTGCCACCCCCTTTCCAACCCAAGACCCGAACATACCTCCCACACGTGTTCCCATGTCTCCTCCTCCATCCCACAAACACTACAAAGCCTATCTTCCCTACTTTGCGAACATCTACCACCCTTCAAGCAGTCCCCAAGCCTAAATCTTGCTATCCTCGACCATCTCTCCTCACTCTATCCTTTTTTAAGGTATCCTGGAATTCCTATCCCTTTGATAAACTTGTACTCCTTGTTACTTTTAGCTTCACCTATCCTCTCCCACCTTTCCTTTTCTTGCATAATCCTTTCTTTCTTGACGAAGTCTTCCCCCCTCATAATCCCTTCCTCCCAACTCTTCTCTACCTCCACTAGACTCCATCCTCTCTCTTCGAAATACTCCTTTCTCTCTGCCTCCCACCCTTCCAGACCCCTTCCTGCCCTGATTCTCTTCCTCATCTCCATCCTACATGTCAAAGCGATTTCCCCACCTCTTCTTTCCTCCAATCTTTTCTCGTAGCCCCATGCCCTCATTCCTGCTTTAGCTTCCAACCGATCTCTCTAGAGCTCTTCCCTCACAAGATATCCCGCCAGCCTCCTCAAAACCCCCTATACCCATCTCAAGTACCTCTCCTGGATACTCTCCATCTCTCCTCTTCTCTTCCAACCCCATATCTCCACCCTGTAGCACATTACTGACCAAACCAGCCTGTCAAAGAGCCAAATTCTCCTAGCCCAATCATCTCCAAATTTCCTCTTGCCTATACTCCACACCTGCCCTAGAATTCTTGCCCCTTTAGCCATCCTTTCCCGTACATGTGCTCCTTGATCTCCATTTGCCTTAATCACATATCCTAGGTAAGTGTACTTATCCACTTCCTCGATTTCTTTTCCTTTCCACATCCAGTGAATCTTCTTTCTTCTTCTCCCTCCTTTCCTACACCTCATTATTTTCGTCTTTGCTACATTAACCTCCAACTTTTTTCTTTCCACGTACCTTTCTAGTGTCCTAATCATTCCCCTCATTTCCTCCTCATCTCTTGCCATCAGCGCAATGTCATCCGCATATGCCAGCGAATACACCTTCTTGCCTCCTGACAGCTCCACTCCTCCCCATCTTCCCTTTTCCAGCTCTTCCTCCAGGTCTGCGAAGAACACCACAAACAGCAGCGGACTTAATGGGCACCCTTGCCTCACCTCCTTCTCCGTCCAGAATTTGCCTCCTAACTCCTTCCCTACTCTCACTCTAGCACTGGTCTCCCTCAAAACCTCCTCACATCTTTTCACCAAACTCACCCTCACTCCCCTTTTGATCATCCCCCTAACCAATTCATCCCTTTCCACCGAATCGAATGCTGCCTTGAAATCCACGTACATGATTATCATTTTCGCTTTTTTCTTAGTTGTTTCCCTGTTTATGAGGTAGTTCAGCACATAGATATTGTCAATCGTTCCCCTACCTTCCCTAAATACCGCCTGCGTTTCCGGTAATATCCCCTTTTCTTCAGACTCTATTTTTAGCCTATTCTCCAGTATCCCCACATATACCTTATGAGCCGTCTGGGTGATAGTCATCCCTCAGTAGTCCTCTACCCTGCCTCCATCTCCTTTCTTCAAGATTGGTATTACTACTCCATCTTTCCAGTCCTCCGGCCATGCTTCCCCCACCTACACTCTTTGACAGATCCTCCACAACTTAACTATTAACTCTTCTCCCCCGTATTTCCACACTTCATTCGGAATTCCATCTTCTCCCATGGCTTTATAATCTATTAACTTCTTAACCATTTCCCTGACTTCGTCCAAAGAGATCTTGTCCTCTTCCGTCTCATCCAGTTCCTCATCAGTCATTGAGCCTTCCCGTGTTACCTTCTTCTCCGATCCCCCCAGTACCTCCCTGAAATACAAATCCCATGTCTCCATTGGGATATCTTTATTTATCCCACTCCTCTTTTTTCTTCCCTCGTTCACTACTTTTCATACCTGTCCTTCTGTCCTGGCGTTCTTGACCCAATCTTCCCATCTTTGCTTCTCCAACCTTTTCTTCTCCTCACATAGCTTCTTGTATGTTTTCTTTTCCAGAAAGTACTCTTCCTTCGGAATTTTCTTCTTTCTAAAGCTTTGCAAAGATCTCCTTAATTTTCCCTTACCTTCTCTGCATTCTTCATCCCACCAGCTGGATACACCTCTCGACTTTACCCTCATTTTTTCGGATTCCCTACTAGCTCCTCTTATTCTCTCTTTCAACCTCCTCCAGTCTTCATCTAAATTTCCTACCTGGACTCCCGCATTACCAAATTCTTTCTGGAAATTTACTTCTACCGTCTTGGGACCATAGTCCCCTCCCTGTCCAATTAATCCTTTCCTTATAACCCTCTTTCGATCTCTTCCCTTGAACTTCTACCTTGACCACCACTTGCAAGTGATCTGAGTCGGTCCTTTCTTCAATTCTCAACTCCATAATCCTATCTCTACTCCTCTCATCTATTAGGACAAGATCTATCACCGAGCAGCCTCTCTCGCCTACGAATTTCCATTCCCCATCTTCATCTCCCTTAACACATCCATTCACTATTGCCCATCCTTTCTCCTTCAAGAAACTGCAAAGTTCCTTGCCATCCTTGTTATACACATTATCCTTTGATCTTCTCACACTTCTTCCCAGTTGGTCATCCACAATCCTCAGACCTCCTTCCGACGCCGTCCTAGCGGTGAAATCTCCACCAAATAATATCCTTTTATCTCCAGCTTCATCCATCCACTTACTCATTAGCTCCTCCCCATATCCCCATTAATATATACCCCTATTATCCACTACCACTCCCCTCCTAGGAGTATCTCAACTACTGCCCATCCTTCCACATCCCATTTTCCCTTATTGCGTATTTCTATACCTTCTTTTACTCCTACCAATATCCCTCCCTTCGCTCTTCCTCTTCCTCTTAGTAACTTTGCCACTTGGATCTGCCATTTAAACCCTTTTTTCCATGACTCCCTTATCTCTGCCCACTTCTTCCTATTTACCCAAGTTTCTACTAGCACTACCACATTCCACTCCCTTAACCCTACCCAGAAGTCCTCCTCCTTATTTGTTACCCCTGTTACATTCCAAAATGTTATGATACGCGCTTTTACCCCCTACTCTCGCTATCTTTACAGTACCTCTTTCCCCTGCCCCCTCCCTACCCTTTCTTCCCGCTCTGTTGTTTTTACCAGCCTCCTCCCTTACTCGTTTCCCTCCTCGAGCTTCCACCTTCCTTCAGCTTCATCCCACTGCCTCAATTTTCCACAGACCAATAGCGTCATATATCCTACCTTGACATTTTTGCCAGCGGCTCTCTCTTTGAAGGCTTCCTCCATAACTATCTTCTTTATCCTTCTTTCCTCATAAGTCAGATCATCCTTCACTCTTATTTTTTCCCCTCTTAGCTTACTCTTCGCTTCCATAACCTCTTTTTTCTTCTCAAGTCCCTCGAATTCTATTAGGAGTAATCCCTTCCCTTCTTTATCGAGAGCTCTAATTTTTCTCATATTATTTCTACCCCCTACCACTTCCATTTTATTCCACACTATCTACCTCCGTCTTCCAATTCACACCTTCTCTCATATCCACACCCTTCAAGATAACATTTTTCCTCCTTATCTCCCTTTCCCTCTTCTCTATGTCCATCTCAATCTTTCTCATTCTTCTCTCTGTCCCACTATCTACCTGTCCTCTCTTCCGCACCAGAGTATCCCCATCAGCAGACTTCCACATCTTCTTCCGCTGCCTTCTCTAACCTTTCCAACCTGCCCTCCAGCATTTCTATCCTTTCACTCATCTGTTTCCTGTCCTCCTCCCACATCTTCTTTAGCTCCTCTCTTTCCTTCTTCCCTTCTTTTAATTGATCAACTCTCCTCCCTAATCCAGCGCATTTCTCTTTAATTCTCACGTCTATTTCAGACAACTTTTTCATTATTGCCTCCATCTCCTCCTCTGTTAGCTCCTTATTCTTTTCAGGGGACTTTGACAATAGCTTACTCCTCTTAACCACCTCCCTTTCTATCTTATCCTTTTCTATCCTCCACTCAGATTCCGCCTCTCTTTCATTCCTTTTTCCCCTTAAGATCGCTTCTGTCAAGTCCTCAGCACTTGCAGTCCTCCCAAGCGCCAAATTTCTATTACCCAACTTTAAATTCAAATTACCCGCCTGACTACCCGCCTTACCATCCGGCATTATCCCTAGACCCACAATATCTACCTTACCTACCCCACCACCTCTTGCAAGTAGTGCTAGGTTTAGTCCCCGCGCGCGCCATTGCACCTTCACTGACTTTCCCTCCTTGCCCCCCTGCCCTCTCTGCCACTGAAAACCCTAACCTCTCTTTAGCAACTCCTATTGAGAAGATTAGCTTTCTGCAATTAATACCACCCTTCTCTATGATAAAACTTATATCAAAATATTCCCCTACAAATACCCTATCAAACACCTCCTCTATTCCCTCAAAACTCGAAACCCCTAGTCCTAGATTTAGCAATTCACAGCACTATTTTTTAGCACACGTCTATTCACTACTACACCGGAAACGGAAGTCAACTCCTAAATAAATGATTATGTTTTTCAATTTAATATTCACATTAATTAAGTTCTGTTAAGCTAATATTAACTTAACAAAAGTTAATAATTAACTTTTGTTAAGCTAATGTTAACTTAAAAAAAGTTAATAATTAACATAATAACTAAAAGTTGATAATTATGTTTTTCAATCTACAAATTTTTAAGAGAATGTTTATATTTTTACAAATTAAAAATTAACTTAAAAATTGATAAATGGATAATTGATAAATGGATAATTGATAAATTACCGGCGGGTAATAAGGCTAAGGGAGATTTTGAAAAGAGATAAAAATATTGTATTCAATTATTGAAATGTATCATTAATTTTTAACTTCCCGCTGAGAAAATTGAAAATTTTCAAAAATCGAGAAGTTATTGGTTTTACCCCGTTTTTCGAAAATCGAGTTTTTATCAGATCTCGTTGTTTTGAGGTCCTAGGAAGCTTTCCTGACTATTCCCGCGAGGGTGTCACAATGTCTGTATGTGTGTGTGTGTGTGTGTGTGTGTGTGTGTTTGTTTTTTTTTTTT